TTTTTTTTTTTTTTTTTGTTTGATAATCACAATTTAAACTATTTTAGAGGATCAAATGTGAAATTCTAACTCTGCATGCATATCCAAGATTCTTATGATTAATTTATGAGTTCTCTTGTATTGAGTTTTTGATTAGCTACCATCATCAGCCATCAGGTTATGTCTTCCAACAATAATTTGTTCCTATCTTTAAAATTTCGAATGGAATTGTTACACTTAGATGCTTCTAACTTGCTCGAGGATCTCACTGCTATTTTGAAATTGTCTCATCTTCAATATTCTGATTGATTATTGTATTTTCGTCGGCTCTTACAGTTTCCAGAGTTCGTCAGTTCATTTTTTTCCCGGTTTTCTTTGCCATCCGCGGGAAATCCTCCAGCAGCCCCAACTAGAGATGTTAGAGGAAACATGCCATCTTTCGTGGGCCGCCAGGTTGAGGTTAGTACATTTGGCGAATGCTTCTATTTGCTGTTAGTTTAAACACATTTTGATAAGCTAAACGATTAAGCATGAACTTACCGTGCCTTAGTATTTATAAGAATGTTGGTATTGCTAATGTTGGCATAATCCATTGAATAATCTATACAGCTGATGTTGGTATTGTAAGTTTGATGCTATGTCCCTCTAAACTGGTTTGCTTTCTCTTGTGCTACTTTAGAGGAGCCATCCTCCTGTGCCAACTGCCACAGAACCACCAGAGGACTCCATTGCCACACTTGTTTCGATGGGGTTCGACAGAAACTCAGCGAGGCAGGCCCTTGTGCATGCTGGAAATGACGTTAACATTGCGACAAGCATACTTCTTGAATCACAATCGCACTAATTTCATGGAAATTTTTCTCGGTATATGAAACCTTTGACGTCCCCAGTTCTGAGAACAGTCAAATTCAGTATCCAGGGTTGATGGTCCGACACACTTGCATTTGCTGACAACTGAGTTTTGATAGGTTGCAGAAACTCATCAGGCTGTTTCTCTTAACTCTCTTTTCGGTTTCCCTTTTGTTCGTATCGTAGCTGTCAAATTTTCTTAATACTTGATGTCTGACTACAGATGATTGCTTAGTTTGTACGTACGAAGTTAAGCTGGTAGAAGTATTTGTGGAAGCAGAATGTGCAGAATTCTTTTGTTCTGTGATAGCTATAAAAGTTGCAGATTCGTACAGAAATTTTATTGGCTGCTAATCATGATTAAGTCACTATGTGCAAACTAGTTGATTTATTGGCTGCTAATTATTCGACAGTTTTGTGAGGAGCGTAGAAATTAATCGATTTCGACGCTTACGAACGACAGTCAGCATCCAAATATGGTTTTGCTCTCGGCCCGTTTTCGTTCAACTGACATTGGGGTACAATCAAGGCTCTTTGCTCGCATTCTAGGGCAATTCTGAAAATCTGCATTCTCTTTCAAATATCTTAATATTCCGCTTGAAAGCAATTATCAGACTTGAATCTCGATGAAATCTCAATGAAAGAGAGCCTATAGCACTTTACGTACGGGGTTCAAACTGAAACCCTAATTGGAACATTTGGAAAAACTGAGTCACGATCGATAATTATTCAACAATTTTGTGAAGAACGTTGAAATTCAACGATTTTGACGCTTACGATCGGCCGCTAGCACCCAAAAATAGTTGCACTACCGGCCTGTTTTTGTTCCGGTTAGGGTACAATAAAGGCTCTTTGCTCTCATTCTAAAGCAGTTTTGAAAAAACTATCTCCTCTTTTCAATATCTTAATATTCCCCTAGAAATAAGTGCTTGGATTTAATCTCAAAGAAAGAGAGTGTAAGCATTGTATATATGGGGTTAAAACTGAAATTCTAATTTGAGTTCGCTGTTCGAAAAAAACTTAGTCACTGTCGATATTTATTAGACAATTATGTGAGAAATGATGAAATTGGCTAAATATGGCTTTGCAATTGGCTAGTTTTCGTTTGGTTGACGTTGGGGTACCATCAAGGTTTTTCACTCGCGTTCTAAGGCAATATCTTAATATTCCCTTAGGAAGCACTCCTCGGACTTGAATCTCAAAGAAAGAGAGCCTATAGCAATGTACGTACGGGTTTAAAACCGAAACCCTAATTTAGAAACCCTGGTTGAGCTGTTTGAAAAAAAATTGAATCACAGTCAATAATTTTTCAACAATTTTGTGAAAAATGTTGAAACTCGAAGATTTCGACGCTTACTCTCGATCAATTTTCGTTTGATCGACGTCGGGGTACAATCAAGTCTCTTCGCTCTCGTTTTGGGGCAGTTTCGATAAGTTGTTTTCTCTTTTCAATATCTTAATATTTCCCTAGGAAGCAGTGCTCATACTATAATCTCGATGAAAGAGAGCCCATAGCACTATACGTATGGAGTTAAGATCGAAACCATAATTTGGAAACCCTTATTGGGCCGTTTGAAAAAACTTGAGTCACGGTTAATATTTATTTGACAATTTTGTGAGGAAAGTGTAAATTCAATGATTTTGACGCTTACGATCAGCTGCCAGCACCTAAAAATTATTTCTCTCTCGGCTAGTTTTCGTTCGATCGACGTTGAGGTACAATCAAGGCTCTTCACTCGCGTTTTAGAGAAGTTTCAAAAAGCTGCTTTCTCTTTCGAATATCTTAATCTTCTCTTAGGAAGCATTTCTCAGACTAAATCTCGGAGAAAGATTGCCTATAGCATTGTACGTGCGGGGTTAAAATCGAAACTCGAATTTGGAAACTCCAATTGAGCTGTTTGAAAAAAATTGAGTTACGGTCTAAGAATGTTTGATTAATCCACCACACCTCAATGGTATGAAGTTATCTTATTTATAATCAAATAAAATACAAGGATATAGAAATAGTAATAAATGGAAATATCAATAAATGGGAAGATACCTACCGTAATCAGACAAATATTAGATATTTGCCTTATAATAAAATATCAAATATAATATATATGGTAAACTAAATATCCTTAACACGGTCGATATTTATTCGACAATTTTGTAAGGAACGTTGAAATTAAATGATTTTGACGCTTTTGATCGGCAACCAGCACCCAAAAATGGTTTCACTCTTGTCCAGTTTTCGTTTGACCGATGTCGGTGTATTATCAAGGCTCTTTGCTCATGTTCCAGGGCAATTCCAAAAAGTTGTCTTCTCTTTCCAATATCTTAACATTCTCTTAGGAAGGATTGCTTATACTAGAATCTGAAAGAGAGCCTATAGTGCTATACATATGGAGAAAAAATCGAAATGCTAATTTGGAAACTCTTGGTCCATTTGAAAAAAACTGAGTCATAGTTGATATTTATTTGACAATTTTGTGAGGAACGTTGAAATTCATAATTTGGACGCTTACGATCGGCTGCCAGCGTCCAAAAATAGTTTCACTCTCTACAAATTTTCGTTCGATCGACATCACATACAACCGAGGCTCTTCACTTGCATTTTAGGACAGTTTCGAAAAGCTTCTTTCTCTTTCTAATAACTTAATATCTCCCTACGAAGTAGTGCTCGGACTAAATTTTTGAGAAAGAGAGCCTATAACACTGTACATGCGAGTTATAACCGAAACTCGAATTTGTAAACTCTCATTAGGCCGTTTGAAAAAAACTGAATGACAGTCGATAATTTTTCGACAATTCTATGCGAAAAGTCAAAATTTGACGATTTCGACGCTTACGATCGAAAGCCAACACCCAAAAATAGTTTCCCTCCAGGCCCGTTATCATCTATCCGACGTCAAAGTACAATCAAGGCTCTTCGCTCGCATTCTAGGGCAATTCTAAAAAGCTGCCTTCTCTTTCCAATATCTTAATATTCCCCTAAAATGTAGTGCTCAGACTAAATCTTAGAGAAAGAGAGTCTATAGCACTATACATACGGGTTAGAACCGAAACATGAATATGGAAACACTCATTGGGTTGTTTGAAAAAAAATTGAGTGACATTTGATAATTTTTTTGACAACTCTATGGGAAAAGTTGAAATTTGACGATTTTGACACTTACGATCGGAGCCAACAACCAAAAATGGTTTTGCTTCCGACCAGTTATCATCTGACCGACGTCAAGGTACAATCAAGACTCTTTGCTCGCGTTCTAAGGCAATTCTGAAAAGTTTTCTTCTTTTCAATATCTTAATATTCCCTTAGAAAGCAGTGTCCAGACCTTAATCTCGATGAAAGAGAGCCTATAGCACTATACGTACGGGGTTAAAACTGAAACCCTAATTTTAAAACCCTGTTGGTCCGTTTTAAAAAAACTGAGTCACGATTGATAACTATTCGACAATTTTGTGAGGAACATTGAAATTTGACTATTTTGATGCATACGATTGTCAGCCACCACCCATAAATGTTTTTGCTCCCAACCAGTTTTCATTCATCCGACGTCGGGGTACAATCAAGGCTATTCGCTCGCGTTTTAGGGAAGTTCCAAAAAGCAGCCTTCCCTTTCTAATATCTTCATATTCTCCTAGGAAGAAGTGTTCAGACATAATCTCGAAGAAAGATAGCCTATAACACTATACGTATAGGGTTAAATTTGAGACCCTAATTTGAAAACTCTAGTTGGGCCGTTTGAAAAAAACTGAGCCACAGTCGATAATTTTTTTATCATTTTGCGAGGAACTTTGAAATTTAATGATTTTAATGGTTATGATTGGCAACAAGCATCCAAAATTGGTTTCACTGGTTTTTTTTTTTTTTGTTTTTTTGTTACCAATATCTTAATAATCCCTTGGGTAGTAGTGCTAGGACTTGAATCTCGAAAAAAAAAAAAAAAAGACCCTCTTGTAATGTAGGTACGGGGTTAAAACCAAGACCCTAATTTTGAAAGCCTACTTGGGCCATTTGAAAAAAAAAAAAAAGTCACGGTTGATAATTTTTCGACAATTTTGTGAGGAACGTTAAAATTTGATGATTTCGTTGCTTACGACCGACAGGCTGCAACCAAAACTTGTTTCCCTACTAACCAATTTTCGTTCGATCATCGTTAGGCTACCATCAAGACTCTTCACTCGCGATCTACAGAAGTTCTGAAAAGTTGTATTCTCTTTCCAATTTCTTAATTTTCTCATAGAATGCCATGCTCAGACTTGAATCTTGATGAAAGAGAGCCTATAACTTTATACGTACGAGATGAAAATTTAAACCCTAATTGTGAAACCATGGTTTGAAAAAAAATTGAATCATGATCGAAATTTTTTGATAATTTTGTAAGGAATGTTGAAGTTTGACGATTTTGACCCTTATGATTGGCAACCAGCACACAAAAATAGTTTCACTCCAAGCCAATGTTCGTTCGACCAAAATTGGGGTACCATCGGTGGCTCTTCGCTCGTGTTCTAGAGCTGTTTCAAAAAGCTACCTTCTCTTTTCAGTATCCTAATCTTCCCCTAGGAAGCAGTGCTCGGACTTGAATCTCAATGAAAGGCAGCTTGTAGCACTGTACGTACAGGATTAAAACTGAAACCTTAATTTGTAAACTAAGGTTAGGTCGTTTGAAAAAATTTGAATCACGATCAATAATCTTTCAAAAATCTCGTGAGGAATGTTGAAATACGATGATTTAGATGCTTACGATCGACAACCAGCATCCAAAAATGATTTGGCTTGATGGTAGTTTTCGTTTGACTGCATCGGGGTTCCATAAAGGCTCTTCATTAGCATTCTAGGACAGCTCTGCAAACTTGCCTTCTCTTTCCAATATCATAATATTCTCCTAGAAAGCAGTGCTCGGACTTGAATCTCATAGAAAGAGAGTTTATATAACACTTTGTGTATGAGGTTAAAACCAAAATCCTAACTTGAAAACCATGGCTTAGCCATTTGAAAAAAAAACTGAGTCACGATCGATAATTTTTTACAATTTTCTAGAAATGTTGAAATTCGACAATTTCGACGCTTACGGGTGGCAGCTAACACCTTAAAATGATTTTTCTCCCGGCCAGTTTTGGTTCTATTGATGTCAAGGTACAATTAGTATCTCTTCGCTCTCATTTTAGGGCAGTTCCGAAAAGCTTCATTCTCTTAAGTATATCTTAATATTCCTCTAGGAAGTAGTGTTCAGACTTAAATCTTAAAGAAAAAAGTTTGTAGCATTATAAGTACGGGGTTAAAACCAAAACCCTAATTTGGAAACCTTGGTTGGGCTGTTTGAAAAAAACTAAGTTACGGTCGATAATATTT